AAAACATTGTTTAGAGATTTGAAGTAAAATCTGCTAATGGAAAGACTTCAGTTTATCTCTACTCTAAACAGGGTTTTTTTGTTGTTGTTGTTGGTTTTAACTCTAATTATTTAGCTTCAGGCCTGTAAGCATAATGAAGCATTTAAAGGGTGCTTAGTTGGGTTTTTGTATTAAGACAACATAATTACTTTCAGAAAATCACCATGGTTCTCTCTCAGGATTGGTCCATCTTGCTTGTATTTTCCAGCTCACTGAAACAAACAATTCCTGGCTCATCTGTAAAGAGACAGAGCACCTTTAGCAGGTATGAAGGAGGCTTTAATCCTTTTAAAAGTCTCTTTAGTCTGGAAAGTACACACCTAAATTTCCTTGTCAGCTAAAACAGTTTGAAAACTTATTTTCTGATCTTTAGTGAGACAGATCTAAAAAAACGGCCCATTTATCAGCTGAGCCGTGTGTTTTCATGCCTGTCTCAGTAAGCTGATGGGTGAGCGCTACAGCCAGGATCGGATTTGTCAAGTCTGAAGTTAGCTTTAAAGAGCAAGTCGGCCCCAAATCAACATTTTTTGCTAATAAACTATATAAATGAGTGTCTAATTGTGCTGTAGACACGTGTAGTCAATAATTTGGCATTTCAGTGCATCTTAGTTAAAATTGAAATATTCTGCCTAAACCTGTCAGTGCTGCGCCGTCAGCAGATAAAAACTCTGCACTGTATTTGAATTTGAATCTGCCACCGCTATTGGCTAAGAGGTATGCTATGATATTAACTGGTACATTATGTCACAGTGCCGTTGTGAACCTATGTGTGTGTATTTGTTCGCGGCTCCGCCCTCTTGGCCTGCCAGGCAACAGCATTTGTTGCATTTTGCAAACTTTAAGTGGGAGTGAAGTAAGTTTCTTGTAGGGGGTGACTTGCCCTTTAAATTGGACTGCTGTAATTATGGAACAAAAGAAGTCCAAAAGGTCCACGAGCATTTTAAGAACTAAAGCACTACCAGAACAGCGGCTTCCTTTTCAATTTTCAAGAAACTCCTGAAGACCCTGCTCTTCAGAGAGCATCTTCTAAACTAGCACCTTCCCTGCACCCGTCCCCCCCCACCCCCCCACCCCCCCTACCGTCCACTCCTTGTTCCCTCCTCTCCATGATTGATGTCAAGTTGTTGTTATTGTTATTGTTAGCCTCAAGGGCAACATGCCGATTATCACTTGTAAGTCGCTTTGGACAAAAGCGTCTGCTAAATACATAAACATAAACATAAAGAAACAGATTTCAGCTTATTTTTTATTTATTTTTCTGTCACTGTGGGAACATGAAAACAGTCTAATTGTTGAAATTTTTGATGACAGGCATCAGTTGTGGTGTAAAAAGGTTCATTGTCCTCTATGCACTCTGATGTCAGCCACAACAAGACTTTGATGCCAGTGACGGGTGATGAGGTCACCGGGCAATATTCCATCAGAGAAATTTCATTTTAAAGCACGTCGGGGTGTATCAGCTGTGAGATCTGAATGCTTCACTTATAGCACAAACAATCACGGTGGCTGGACTTTGTTCAGTCTGTTATGATGAATTTATTTTTTGGAAACAGAACGAGGCAGCAGTCTTTCTATTCTAAGTCCTTGCCTCTGAGGGAAACTGTATAATGAGAAGAAGAGCTGCAGGAAGTTATTAGAGATTCGTGAGATAAAGACATCACAACAGAGGTTAAAATTAACATTTCCAAACCTACACTTTAATCTCTAACTCAATGGGTGACTCTATGACCTCATAATACTTCTAAGCTTGAGAAGTTAAAAGGAAACCTGTGAGGAGGGCAAACAGAAAGAGCCTCAGTCATTCCTGAAGAGTTGGTATTTTATCTCATCATACAAATAATATTTTTTAAAAAGCCTTAAGGTCTGTAAAATATTAGCTACAATGAAATATTTTTGCAGTGCTTACAGGTCCATTCATTCATGGAGTAAAAAAAGGAATAAAGCTATTCAGATACCCACAAACAGAGCCGAAGCCATGAACCTTTGAAGGTTTATCAGTGAAGCTCTTTAATATGCCTCTTCAGCTCGGCAAAGCTTCCTCTGAGGGGTTTTACTGGAGAAAATTACCTGTAATACCAGAGATGTAAATGCAGGATGATTATCCACATCCTCTCCTTTCTCATTACAGCCTTATCGGCCGAGAACAGTTCTCCGAGGCTGGAGAGCTGTCGAAGAAAAGGGGCTCTCTCTACATGGGTGGCTCTAAGCACGTAATCGGCAACAAAGTGACTGTTTGCTCTGGCACAAATCTCATATTAGGCCCAGAAGGTGCTGAGTGCTTTGTCCGATTCACATACCGTCATTATCTCTTGGTTATGATCATGTGCAGGACAAATAATTGTGCAGATAGGTACTGCAAGGCAAAGCAAATGACATTAGGGAGACAATTTAGCTCTGTGGGGAAGCAGTTAGAGGAATATCAAAATGCTATCTCACATTGTTGTTGTTGTTTTTGGTCATAATTCACATTTTAACCTTTTAAATAAGTGGTAACTTGTATTATTTAGGTGGTGAGCAAAATGGTAATCACTTTTACCTAAGTGTTTTGGAAGAAAAGGAGCAGAAACAAAAGATTTATTGTTGTCATTTCATTCTATTACCCTTACAAGACTCTTTGCACGGCTAATTGATTTTGGTTTCATTCTGACTGCCTACATTATCAATCAGCCTGCAGCGGAGCAGATAGAATGGTGCACTAACACGACTGTTTCACACTGCAGTAAGCCAGAGCGCACACTTATTCACATCTTTCTCTTTACAAACAAAATATGTTTTAGTGACACAACAAAATAAATTGTGTTTTAGTCCTTACCGTTGTGTCCTTAAGTTCGACACTGAGACTTTTTCTTTTACAAAGGATTGTGTCACATTTATTGTTAAAAGAAATCAAGTTCTGCAGTTTGTGTTTGTGCAGGTGTGCGTCATAATGTTACCACCTTGGGAAAGGGTGCTGCAGGTTCTCAGAATTCAATGATATATCAAACAAACTTTAGCTGCAGTGTAGAAACAGTTCCCATGCTTTTTTTGTAGATCAGGCATCAACAAAAGCACAGATAGATAAACAATAACTAGGCTGATAGCAATCATCAGAGGACATGGAAAATAAGCACAACAGCCGTGGGTCGAACCCGGCTGCAGAGTCAGTTGTGCAGGGCGATTATGAGAGTGCTCCTTTCACCTCGAGTCCTAGAAGAAGACACACACACACACACACACACACACACACACACACACGCCACCTCTGCTGCAATTGTCATGACAACAAAATGTAAATTTAAATATGGGAAGTTTGAGAGCATGCCACTCAAAGTTCACTTGGTTAGGGCTAAAAGACAATGAAGTCATTTATTTAGCTGCCCCAGAAACCAAAAGGATCATAATAAAACACTAATGATTAATCTGAGTTCAATATAAAGCTCACGTGTTATAATTAGCTTTAAATCAGATGTTGCTTCATACGTCCAGACATCATTCTAAACTTTTTTTAACCATCCATCCATTCTCTTCTGCTTATCTGGGGTCAGGTCACAGGGGCAGCAGCCTAAGCAGAGAGGCCCAGGCTCCCCTCACTCCACCCACTTGGGTCAGCTTCTCCAGGGAAACATAGTCCCTCTAGCATGTTCTGGGTCTTCCTTTAGGTCTCCTCCTGGTTGGAAGTGCCTGGAAAACCTCACCAGGGAGGCATCCAGGATCCATCCTAACCAGAAGCCTGAGCCACCTCAACTGGCTCTTCTCGATGTGGAGCAGCAGTGGGTCTACTCCGAGCCCCTCCCTGATGACCGAGTTTCTCACCCTATCACTAAGGAAGAGCCCAGACACTCCATGGAGAAAACTCATATGCAAGATCTCATTCTTTCGGTCATTACCCAAAGCTCGTGACCATTGGTGAGGGTAGGAACGTACATCAACCGGTAAATCGAGAGCTTCACCTTCCAGCTCAGCTCTCTTCACCACAACAGACCGGTACAACGCCCGCAGAACTGTTGACGCAACACCAATCTGCCTATCGATCTCTCGATCCACCTTCCCTCACTCGTGAACTGAGATACTGTTTTTTTTTAAACTTTAAAAAATCTAATATATCTATAACTCTATAATCTAATTAATGTTACCTTCACACAAGTCACCCAGTTATTGTGGCTGATTCAGCTATCACATGAAGAGTGTTTTTTTAAACAAATCTTGAATTTGATTGTTAGAAGCACTCTTGGTGTTCAAAAAATCCATGTTTCAAATTGCTATTAAAGATCCGAACAAAAACACATTCAAAATAATGCATTCAAGTACTGAGGGTGTGTGTATATACATATATATGTATATACACACACACACACACACACACACACACACACACACACACACACACACACACACACACACACACACACACACATTTCAGTGCCGTAGAAACATCTGCTCAAACCAAGGGGACATTTTTCCATGAAACTCCATCATGTTTATTTTGGGGACAATCCCAGAACTCATTCTGCGTGACTTCCCCCATTGTGGCTTTAAAATGGGGGAAGTGGATTTCACTCGGAAAACTGCAAACAAGAGTACCTCATGTCCATAGTTATTTAAAAAATCTTGTCCGACTCTGTTTGTGCTCTTGTGTTTGATTTGCATGTTGACTTCTTCATCACATGCTTTATTTTCTAATCTCAGTAAAAAAAAAAATAAATAAATAAATAAAAACAATAATCAAAAGCCAAGATGGAAGAATGAGCGTGCTTGCCTGAGATGACCTCTGGCCGATTGTAAGTCTTTTAACAGCATACAGGGTCCTGATTCTGGCCATAAAAATGGTTAAATTAAATTAATATACCAAATGCAAGTACAATATGGTTATATTCCTGCAGAGGGCACAGGTTCACTACAGATTCTTCCATTTTAAAGCTGATTTGGGCAAAGGGGAAGTGCACTACATGTCGAGCAAAAGGATTCTAAAGTCTCTTTTTCTGATTGGCTCCTGGAAAGTAACCCCCAGCATTCCACACCATTTAGCTGCAGCAGCTTTTTCTCTCTGGGCTTTTTCTCACCTGAGGTCCTTGAACACTCCCTCCGTCTGCAGCTTTTAACACATCTGAGGACTGAGGCTTGTTGCCAAAGAGCTGGTGTTGCTGGAAACATGTTTGCATCTGCTGTGAACGTCATCGCCTTTGTGTGCTTCTGTTCACTCCATCTTACTTTTGGAGAGGTAAGAGTCAGTGCTACACAGCATTGTTGGTTTAAATTTAAGATTGTGCTTTTGATTGCATCAGTTTGGGGTAATATTGTCTCTATACTGTAAAAGACTTAACTTACAGCTCTGATGCACTCGAAGTTCACATGAAAATGTTTTTTCTTCTTTGCTCACACATTTCAAAAACAGCCTTTGACAGGGTGCAGTTGAAGAATAAAAGCTGCTAACCATTTTCTTGAGGCTGCAGGTGTCTGAATGCATATTTGTGTTTTGCTTGAGCGACATCTGATTGTGTTCTACTGAGATGTAGCTAACATATTTGTAAGAACTTGCAGCACTGTGAAAATGTATTTTCATTTTTACAGATTTCGTATGTTTTTGCTTCATTTGGTCTCACTTAAATGTTTCAAATATTGACCAAAGTTAGCCTGAAATCATGAATTTGTGATGGCTGAAAACAAGTTTCTCACTTCACTGTGGAAGGATTTTGTCCAACTCATCTTTGCATATTTGCTTTGATTCAGTCAAATTGGAAGGTTTTCCAGCACAAATGACCTATTTAGGGTCAAAGGTCAGACTATCTTCTTCAGGAAAGAGTTAAATTCATGGTTCCATCAGTGGCAGCAAATTGCTCCACTAAAGAAAAAGAATCCCATAACTCTTGGGTATCATCCAGATGTTATAGCAAATGTCACATAGGCCTTTAACTGTTTTTGGTTAAAAAGTGGGTTAAAGCCTGGGAACTCTCCCATGGATGCCATCTTTCTTTTTCTTACTGCTGAATCATGAAATCTGACAGTAATTTTTGACCAATATGCTTAGGGTTTCTTTAGTTATTGGGTGTCATAGCTTCTGGAGATCTTTCAGCCCTCTTCATGTTGTCAGTTTCTATTTAAATAATTTCTTATTTTCACATGTCTCGCAGTAATGTTACATATTACAGTATATTCACAATTCAACAAAAGGGCAGTTATTTATTTCAGGACCAGACTGGTTTTAAAAGCTTTTTCTCCTTTAATAAATGAAATTATCAGACGAAAGCTTTTCATTTTGTACCTTTCTCTGATATTTTTTCAGTGTGATGGTTAGAACTTCACACAGATTTTTTTTAGCTAAATGTGTTCACATCACTGAGTTAACACAAGGCCATGTGAAATGTCTGCAGCACGAGCAGAAAGAGGTCTTTGACGGCCACACAGTAACACCCGCCATCATCTCCCTCCCAGATGACTGAAGTCGTTCCAAATTCAGTTCAGCCTAAATAAGAAAGGTGTTCTCAATAAATATTGGCTCTTCTTACATAACCCCTGCTGGATGAAAACACTAATTGGTTGTGTGAAAACATGCATGAGAGGGCAGGGCAGGTGGGGAATGACGAATGAGCCGCTCCCTCTGCACACCGTTATATGAAAAACAGAAATTATGTTTAGGCTGAGGTTTAACTGAATATTTGATCATCAAATCTCAAAATCATCCCCAATAATACAAACTACACTCAAACACTTGTTCACTCATTTAAACTTAATATTTTCAAAGGTCAGCAAAATTCCAGGAACACAAAGTGTTACACAGAGGGCTTGTGTGTGACCTGGTCCACTGATCCAGCTAATGACCACACACACACACACACACACACACACACACACACACACACACACACACACACACACACACACACACACACCTTCAGCACAGTGCTCCTTTTAGAGCATTTGTTTTGGGAGTTGGTTGTTTTACTGCAAATATTGTCTCAGTTAAAAGTATTCATACTATAGTATGATTTTGCAGAGTTAAGTTTTATGTTAGTATTAGATTAAACTGTTCAGGTGTAGTTTTGAGATGAGATTATTTTTCTTGCAAGAATTTAAGAAAATACAGACATGAAGGTAATCACTTGTTATATTCTGAGTATTTATTGTCATCTAGTCTCTTACTGCAGGATGGTTAATCTGGTGATTTTTTTATGACACAAGCAGGAACAAGTTGTTCGGCATAATTAATTCCAATCAAATCATTTATTTCTAAGTACATTTAAGGATACTAAGCAGATTTAGCTTGCATTTATCACCCCCTAGTGCCCATGAGTAAAAGGGAAAGTGACACTTCTCACTGTGGGTTCCTCTTTCAACACCTGTGGTGAAAGGGTCTTCGCCATCTGTGCTCTGAAACTCTCCAGGTTAGGCAATCTCCTTCGATCACTGTTTTCTAATCTTGTGTGAATCCTAATCCTGACCCTAATCCTATTTTTCCTTGGCTTTTAACTCTTAAACCTCAGAATCAGAAGGGTTGTATTGCCATATGTGCGAGAATCACAACATTAAGAAATTGCGGCAATGCTTGGTGCAAAAAAGGAAGATAAAAATAAGAGAAGAAAAAATCATCAAATCAAAGCAGATCAGTTCAGGTACAAACACAACACCGGGTCAGGTGACTGGAACCAAGCAACCGGAGGTTCTGAACCAAATGGATCTGAGCCTCCTGCCAGATGCGAGCGAGTCAAAAAGACTGTGTCCAGGGTGACACGGGTTAGCTGTGATCCAACCTGCATGCCTCAATGTCCTGGAGTACAGGTCATGTATGGAGGGGAGTTTGCAGCAAATGACCTTCTCAGCATCCGCTGCAGCCTCTTCTTGTTCCTGGTGGTAGCCCCGGCGTACCACGTGGTGACTGAGAAGCTGAAGATGAACATGATGATAGTGGTGTAGAACTGCCTCATCGGCTGTGCTGGCAGGTTGAATTTCTTCAGCTGCCTCTACATCCTCTGCTGAGCCTTTTCATGACGGCGGTGGTGGTGGGCTCCCGCTTGAGGTCTTGGGTGATGGTGCTGCCCAGAAAGCGACTCTGTAGGCAGACTCATCCCCGTCAGAGATGTGTCCGATGACAGTGGTGTCATCTGCAAACTTGATAAGCTTGACAGACTCGTGGTTGGAGGTGCAGCTGTTGGAGTACAGAGAGAAAAGCAGAAGGGAGAGAACACAAACCTGAGGGGAGCCGGTGCTGATGTCTGCAGTGAGCAGAGAGTCAGAGTGAACCTGGTTCAATCTGGCTCTAGTTTTAAGTCTACAGGTTCTCCTCCCTTCCATCGTGGTTGCTCAGTTTTTGCATTTGTTGTATTTCATGGTTCTAATAGCCTGTTTGGTTTTTGTTCCATTGTTTTTAACTTCTATGTGATTATTTAAGCTTTCTTGTTTTTAATGTGCAGCACTTTGGTCAGTTGTTATGCTGTGTTAAAAGCTCAACAAAGAAAATGGTATAGTATGTTAGCTTAATCTAACAGCTGAAATGTCTCCTCGGCCTTCATTTGTTTCTACAGGAGCAGTGCATCACTAAATCAAACAACTCAGCTGTGGTCACGATCTAAAACATGCTGGAAGCAGACTCTAGCAACAGGCATGTCAGCTCAAATTTACTAAGTCCAACTGGCAACTCTGAAGTTGCAAGTGCAGTATTCTGGCAACAGGAGGTGGTGGGGTCTGAGGGACTTTTCATTAACTCTGTAAATGACATTTTAGCACATAATGGCTCAAGAAAGTTATTTAAGAATATGAAAAAGTTGCATAGTATGCCCTTTCTTTTAATATCAATTCTAATGTTTTGTGACATTTGGTCTTAAAACTAGCAGTAAAATGTTGGTAAATCTCACTCAATAGTTAAAAAAACAGATATGAAACTATTTGTAACTGTGGAAAGAAAGGCAAGACTTTAGTTTGCATTGGTTTTCACATTTCGACTGTAAAACACATAATCATTGAAGCTGTTGGGTTTTTCTACAGGACTGTCCCGTTAGGCAGGAAATACAAGGTTCTCTGAAACAGGTCCAGAAGCTTTTGTCTGCCCATGAAGCCACCTACACACAGAGTCTTCGCAACCTGAGAAAGAAAATTAATTTACTCCAGAGCAGCGCAGGAAGGCACACAGCAAAACACACAAACAGTAAGTTATACCACTAGAAAGAATGATTGATTTCGTTATTTTATTTTAACGTCTATATTTTCTACCAGCCACCTGCCCAAAACTGGATGCTCCTATGAATGGGAGAAAGCTTGGTAAATCCCACAGCGTGGGCCATGAGGTCCACTTCCTGTGTGACCTGGGTTATGAACTTGTGGGAGCTGAAAGCAGAGTCTGTCAGGAAAGCCTGAGCTGGAGTGGCCAGCAGCCCACCTGCCGAGGTGAGAAACCAGTTATTGCTGGAGGTCATTTTTCTTCATCGTTTGCTCCTTTTTTCCACCAGCGTCTCTCTTCACTTCTTCTCCCTGACTTTCAGTCATCCTGCTCTCTAACCCACTGATCACTTTTCCAATCCTGTCAGCACTCTCTTTGTAAGTGCTCCATCTCCTTTATTCTCTTGCCATTTCTTTTTGTGAGCATCAGAAATGTCACAGTTTCCTCTGTAGAGATACGTTTCTCATGTCACCTGTGATTATTTTTCTTTTTTATGGGTTTTAGCTGTTGATTCAAGATCTTTTTGACTACTTGACATGTAATATTCCCTTCCAGGCTTCATGTCCCCGGACAAATTCCTGACTTTGAGATAACAGCTCAAAAGGGTGTTTGATCAAGAAGTGGATTCCTCCGCACCCTGACTGCACCAAAGATTAACCTTGTTTTCTCCATTCCTGAATTCATGCATTTGCTGTGATTTGCTTTAAACCGGGCTGCACAGTGACGCAGTGGTTAGAGCTGTTGCCTTGCAGCGAGAAGGTCCTGGGTTTGCCCCCCAGCCTGGGGTCTTTCTGCATGGAGTTTGTATGTTCTCCTTGTGCATGCGTAGGTTCTCTCCGGGTACTCCGGCTTCCTCCCACAGTCCAAAAACATGGCTTTTGTGAGCCCTGACGAAGGCCCTGTGGGCTGAAACGCGTCGGCATTTATGTTTTTAACTATTTGAGCCATGTACTAATAAAGGCTTTTTATTTTTGTATCTCCTGAGTGCCTCAGATCTCCTTTTGCCAACATTTATGTGGATCCCTTGGCTGAAGAGCACCATTGAGAGCACCAGATAAAATTTCTTACACCCCTGCAGCACTTCCAGCATTTTTTCTATTTTCAAAAACATGGCTGTTAGGTTAACTGGTCTGTCTAAATTGTCCTTAGGTGTGTGTGTGTGTGTGTGTGTGCGTGCGTGCTTGCGTGCGTGCGTGTGTGTGTATGTGTGTGTGTGCATAATTGTTTGTCAAGTGTGTCTCTGTGTTGCCCTGCAATGGACTGCTCTCTGTCCAGGGTGTACCCCGCCTGATTGCCCATTGACCGCTGGAGATAGGCACCAGCCCCCCCCCCCCCCCCCCCCCCCAACCCCCCCACCCCCGTGACCCTGCGTGGACAAGCGGGTTCAGAAAATGGATGGATGGATGGTGATTTAAGCCTCAAATATGTGGATCGCTGGAAAACATTTTTTAATTATTATTTTTATTAGAATTGGTTGCGCTGAGGTTTTCATGCAGGCTGAACGTGAAAATAGTCTCCTACACCTAAACATTAGGATTTGAAAATCCTCCTGACAGATCTACATCACGCTGTCACAGAACATTCATTGACTGCCCCATCTTGACTCACCATGGGGAAGTCTTTTGGTTTAGCATCCAGGAAAAGAAAGTAGAAGCTAACCGTTAGTATTAACAACTCCACCACATGGCAGAACTCCTCCAGGCTTGTGTTATTTGTTCAGATGAAACATCAGCGTTGCAAAGTAAACCGAGTCGGTGATACATTTGTGTTGCTGTTATCCAATGTGGGGCAAGATGTCTAAATATCAGGAAAAAAGACTCCAAATCCTGTCGTCTGAGGCTCTCCTCTGATTTGGCTCAATTCTCCTGAAACTGATGCACCAGAGCTTTGTTTCCCCAGAGTACCACTCAGAAGGCATTCATTCATTCTAGAGGCCACTGAAAATGTATTGATTAAATGAATGAACCTTATCTTTGAGTGTGTTATAGGGTTCAAAGGTAGCAGCTGTGCTCAACCCTCTTCTGTCTGTCTCCTTCAGACATCAATGAGTGTTTGTCCTCTCCTTGTATGAATGGAGGGACGTGTGTGGACGAGGTGAACCAGTTTTCTTGTGTCTGTGCCAAAGGTTGGGCTGGAGTTACCTGCCAAAGCCCCGTACCCACTTGTGAGTATATTGTGTTTTATTGTATTGCTTCATCCTAAAGCTGTTATAGCAAATTTGGAAAACAAATGTGTTAAAAATATTTTAATGCCTCTTAACATTGTATAGCTCTAAATATATCGTGTAGATAAAAAAAGTAATAAGTGGTGGTTTGTCTAAACTCTGAAAGCAACCATTGCACCATCCGGTTGTCTGTCTCACTGAACCGCTGCTCTTCCCTGGGTCCTCCATAACACACTCGCGTATTTTGCAACAGAACACCACTGGTGTGAGAGGTTCTCTGCTCAGGAGACACAGCTGGCTGCTACCACTTCAACTTCAGGGGCAAACTGCCAGAGTCCCAAAAAGAAAAACACCATTTGAATTCACGGACAACAAAAGACCTTTGGACCTGAAAAACGGCGAATGGTGTTTAACACTTTCTCATTTCGTCTGGCATCATGGGTTTCTGGTTCCGGCACAATCGTCTCAGGGAAGATACCCAAGGGGAGGGGTGTGGAATCCCAGCTCAAGTTCTCCCCAGCCAGACCTGTGTGAAGCTCTTCGTCTCTCGAGTCCGAATCACTTAGATTCTGTCTACATACTTCAGGACGTTTTACATTTACGTTTTACTCCCCGAGTAGCACTCAACAGTAGGTACAATGGTATGGTCCCGTCCATTAACTGTAGATCTCCTCTTATGATGCTGGCTCTTGTTACCGATCTAGGTACATTTCTGTAACTTGGAAAAACAGTACAAGGGTATTATTTTAATGAATGGGTTAAAACAACCAATAAAAACATCCAATTAAGTTTTTTGACACCAAAATCCTAATGCTTTACCACCATGGATTGTCCACACAAAACAGGGAATGTCCACTACTTATGGGCTCGACACACGGGAGGCGACATCGCCTCTCCTCTATTCATTTTCAATGAGACATGCGCGACAAAGCGATAATCGCGGGTCTCTCTCCTACTAAGCGAAACGCGAAAAACGTGCGTGTGAAAGTTTGCACTCGTGCACGTGTCGTGCACGGACGACCCAGTGACGCGATCCCAGAAAGTTGAAACATTTTCAACTTTTCATCGCTGTCGCTCGGACGAGGACCAATCAACGGAGGTTTCATTTACTGACCAATGAGCGGGCAGGATGCTCCGCACATCTCCGAGCAAACATGGAGGAGAAGTTGATTATTATTATGTTTTATATAGTAAAATCAGAAGTAAGATTTCACATAACTCTAGCAGCACCTTGTGAAACATCATATCTACCGCTTTATTAACTCTGAACCGCTTAAATAACCTTAATTCCCTCCAACCTGACACAGCCAAACAAAACAATGGAAGTTTCGATTTCGCCATGGAACAGAACGCGTAGACGGCTTTGCCGCTGGCCGCTGCCGCAGATCGCCTCCCGTGTGACAGGTAATAAAAGCGACAGCGACAAATTTCGCTGATCGCGGTCGTTTGTCGCCTCCCGTGTGTCGAGCCCATTATACTGTATCAAGTTTGGCTATTTTATTTTGCACAGTTAAACACCCGTGAGTATTCTGTGACCGTGTTTGTGTTTAAAACAAAGCTTGATCTGTATATTTGCTGTAGCAGCTTTAACTCAGAAACATGTCTTTGGTTTTGAAGGAGACAAAATTGAAATCTGCAGAAATGCAGCATTGTAGCACACCAAAGCTGAATCAGAAAGCAGAAAAAAAAGAACCATGTAACAAAAAGCACACAACGAGAGAGAAGATTGGAGAAAAGACTCAGGTGTTTCTCAGTCAGTGGAGGCAGACAGTAGAGAGGTCAGAGAGAAGACTGGTAAAAACTTCACCAGACTCGGGAATGATAAGCTGTTTTTACAGACTCACTGCTGAGAGCAGTTTTATAATCTGACAGTGAGTGGAAGCATCAAGCAGATATTTAAGGAACAGCAGCTGAGATCTGACCCCAAACAGCAGGAAGTGCAACTGTGATTAGGTTCAAGAGGAGGATGAGGGCGAGGCAGTTCACGTGACAACACCACATTCTCTGCAGGCATCTCTTCCTCACTGTCAAATATTTTTGTTAGGTATTTATACCTTTTACTTCCATATCAGTTTGATTAACATTTTGTGGGGTTTGATAAATTATTGATTATATATATATATATATATATATATATATATATATATATATATATATATATATATATATATATATATATATATATATATATATATATAATCAGTTTACACTGGAATGGACACTCTACTTGAAATTATTGTTATTTGAATTAAATTATGTAAAATATTTGTTAAAAAAGGCAACCGCCTTAATTAATTTAAATACAATTAAAAGATTATAAAAATTCTTAACAGTTAAATAAATATTACATTTTATATTGTTCTTGATTTATTATTTATTACATAAAGTATAAACTAAAGGCACTTTTGTTTAAGTTAGAGGCCATCAAGTTCCTGGACAGATGAAATCCTTAAACGGACTAATTGAAGGCACTTTAATGCTAAATAAAAGTTGTAGTTTGCAGCACAAGGACCATTTACACCAAGTTGAGAAAGTGTTTCCACAGCTGAAAACACTTTTTCCTCTCTCCCTTTACTTTATCCTCCAGTTTTCATCACCATGACAAACACTTCTGCTGCCTCTGCCGCCACCACCCTACCAGCTGCCACCACTGGGCCTCATGTTCGTCCATCACGCTGCTCCACGGTGCAGGGGACCACCCACTGCACCTGTGAGCCAGGATACACCATCTCTGGCAGAGACAGCTACACCTGCACAGGTACGCCATTAAATCAGACCCTTAAAACAAATTCTGTTTGGTATAATTAATCTTTGTTTACTGTTCATTTCAGATATAGATGAATGTGAGGTCCTCCATAATGGACCAGCTGGGAGACTGTGTTTACATAAGTGTATAAACACCCCTGGAGGATACCGCTGCTCCTGTCCTGCTGGGTACAATGTGACAACTGATGGACGCAGCTGCAAAGGTGCATTTATCATTTTACTTCTCTTAAATGTTTTTTTTTTTTTGTCTGTCGTTGGGTCTCCTTTACGGATAAATTACTAAAAGAGATGTAAAGCACAGAGGTTACATTTGTAAAAGCAAACATATGACAATCTATTACTCAAGAGATTCAATACGAGTAAAAGAAAATGTAAGACTGGGAAAAAATTACAAAAAGTAAAAATGTCCCCATTAAGAGACACCACATTGTTTTATTCCAATAACCAAAAAGAAATGTAAAACCAGCCAATGTGAGCCTCTAAATAATCATAAACATTCAGAAAGAGACAAGATCTTTCAATAATGCCAAACTGTACAAATCATCTGTCATGGTGTAGGAGGTGGAGACGGCGGACCATGTGTGGATGAGCTGAGCAGGAGGTAAAATGCAGGCTTCAGTAAAAGTAAAAAATGGTTTAATGGCAGGATGGGATGGGATGGGATGAACAGGAACAGGAACAGGAACACCAACAAACAACAACAATGATCTGACAAAGGACAGGGGCAAAACAGGTGGTATAAATACAGAGGGCTAATTAGGGAAACATGGGCAGGTAAACGAGGGACAGGTGAGAACAATAAGGGTAATCATGGCAGGAGAGGAACACAGTCAGGCGGGCAGGGGCAGATCGTGACATCATCTTTCAATAGAGATTTACGGTAATACACTTTTATATTTCCCTCTGGTCATTGCAAAGTATAACACAAACAACTATACATATTTGTTGCATTTCTAACACTTTACAATAAGGGAAAACAATAATAAACAATTAAATAGCAAAGTTTTAACACCTGTTTGGCCATATTATGTACTGCATTACGGCCCATTGTCCTAACCTTAAAGACACTTAAAGTGACAGTGTGCATTTTCCCTGGCGATAGGGGGCAGTGCATACATAAATCATTGCAAGCAAGCTGTATTTTTGTGTTCAGGTAAGACCTTACCAACGGATAGCCATTAGGGTCAAAAATCCCTGGAAGTACACCAGACTCCCTTTCATCACTAGCAACGAGTGAAGATGTGGAAAACGTTTATGAATGGCGAAAGTTTTGTAACTGTTTGCTACAAATCAGTAAAGGCATTTTGTCCTCACCAGCTCAAGTAGAAAGAAACATGGTGTCGCCCAGACTTGGACTTGCCCCAATGTATTTTAAACCTGATTTTTATGATTATATGTTACAAATTCGCCAATATTTTTCAACATCTGGGCATCATTTAATTCATTTTCAACAACATTTCAATAAATATTTCCAGAGATTAGCAGTAAAAAATACACACTGTCTCTTTAATAGTTAATACCTACAACATTAATAAAAAAAGACCCTTTGTTTATTAATGCTTAATAACACATCTAATGTCAATAAAGGGACCCATATTGTGAAGTGTTTTTTTTCAAAAATTTTCATAAACTTTCTCTATGAAAAAGACTTTACAGTGGCCACTTCTTCTTTGTTTAAAAAAGATTTTCTCAAAAACATATTATGTTTATGTTTATTTATTTGGCTTTTTGTTACAAATGACACAGTTGGATTTCTCTTTGTACATTTGCTTATTTTTTTTACTGTATTTTTAAGAATGTCTGACAGTATTCTAGTGCTAGGGTTAGGGTTATATTAGTTATTTGTTTATATCGGTATGGGAAATTAGGACACTGTATCAGCATATTGGATTATCGGTAAAAATGCTGCTCTCTAACGATCCTAGTCATTTTTGTAATCTAATTATATGTCCTAATCATTTCTCAGATATCGATGAGTGTGCCACCAGGCAAAACAACTGCACAAAGGACCAGATGTGCATAAATACTTATGGTGGGTTCCAGTGTGTTCGTGTCGACTGCCCCAGAATCGCTCACGCTACATATGTCAAGACATCACCCATGTGAGCACCATCTGTAATATTTTGTACCATGTCAAAGTTGTTTTAAAGTGACAGCGTGTAGTTTCCTGCTGCTAAGGGGCAGTACATATATTTCAGGGTAGTTTTACATCATATCGCCATGACTGTTGCTAGATTTAAAAAAACATTAAGGTAAATGTTACCTGTGGAGCAGAAAGCATGCAGCCTTGGTGTGACTTCTCAGACTTTAATGGTCCTTCAGTTAATTCCATTCAGAAAATGCAATGCCGATTGTAGTTTTCTGTCGCTGTAGTTTCAGGGTCTGCTCGGGGTCCTTCACCTGCCAATGACATCATCATATTATGGAAATAGCTCCGTTTAGCCAAACGATATTGCTTCGCTTTTTTTATCTGTTTTTTCACATATGTTTGGGAAAGATTTTAGCAGTTTTGTTATTAAATACGTGTTTCTTATTGCCTAAATGTTTTTGAACGTGTTAACGTAACTTCTGTAAGTCGTACATCAAGCTAGTCATGTAGTGTGATGTCATTGTCAGGCGCAGGATGCCAAGCTGCCCAGAAGGAAACATGGCATCTAATAAGGCATCCCCCAAAGACTAGACACAATTTTTATGGTTACATTTTTCAACAATTGGGCATCTTTTAATTCATTTTAAACTACGTTTCCATGGATATTTCCAGAGACTGATGGTAAAACCTACACGTTGTCTCTTTAAGATGTGGATGAAACCTATGCTCCTCAGCTTTGACCTACTCATTATTGTCTTCCAGGCGGTGTGAGCGTAACCCCTGCCCTCTGGACAACAAAGCCTGTTCTCAGACTCCAAACTCATTTTCCTATCATTACCTGGCTGTTGTATCCAACCTGTCAGCCCCCCGCATCATGTTCAGAGTCTCAGCGTTACGTCCAATAGGGGACACCCTTCGTTTCACTTTACTGGGAGGGAGGCAAGCCCGGCGCCACTTCACGCTTCAGCGTTCAGACCGTCAGACGGGTCAGCTGATGCTGGCGAGCCCCGTGCAGGGCCCTGTCGCTCTGGAGGCAGAGGTGGAAATGAGCGAGCTGGAGAGACGAGTGCAGCTGGGAAGATACATCACCAAAATCACCATGTTTGTGTCCCAGTATGATTTCTGAGAAGCAAAAACAAACAAGTTGTTGCGCAAGGATGGAGACAAGCAAGCAAACAAGCAAAGCTCAAACTGGGCCAGACATAAACAAACTATCCAAATTTAAACAAGTTTTTTGGCAATTATTTCTTTACATTCATGATACGATGTCCTTAATTCATGTTGCAGATGTTTTGTAATCCTGTTTATTACCGTTTTGCTGCTGACATTTTATATTTGCTTGCCTCCTGTGCAATAATTAAATATGATCTACACAAACTCTGGTCCTTTATTTGTTTGTATATAATACCTTTAAACATATTTGGTCAACCTTTAAAAGCTGGATACTCATGAATAATCTTGCAGAAAGAGTGTGACCTACTGTACGGCGTGATAAATGTGAGCAGGGGTTGTTAAACACCACAGTTCCTGCAGTACAGAGCCGTGCTGTTCAGCAGAGGGCAAGCCAAAATACGGGTGCTGAAAAGAGCTTCTGTGCTCTTACAGTGCATGAATAACTAAATTTAAAACCTGCAAAACAAGTACATAGAAAAAAATGCACATACCACACACATCAAACATACATTTTCTGTGATTATTTTTGAATGCAAGGAGACTTTACATGAGAGCACCTGGAGATAGTGAAGGAAACTGGGTATCGTCAATGAATGCAGAGACTTAATGGCTCCAATTTGTAAAGAAGAGGAGTTTAAAAGAGCCTAAAAAATAAAGAAAGATGTGGAGGACCTCTTATCTCTTCTGCTTAATGTCTTTTGTTTTCCTTCCTTTAATACATTGATCTCTTCTGTGTCTATCCTGGCTCCTTCAGGATCACCAGCTCTTTCAAAAACACTCCTGTCACACTTTTCAAGGCAACATTTTCTAGAAAATTGATCTTTTTGTTATTTTTACGTATTTAAACACATCACATTCAAAACATAACCTGGGTGCAACTTTGCCTACACATATTGCTAAAATGTGGTGTACCACTGCCCCCTGCAGGTCAAAGTTAAGACATGTTGCACATTTCAAATTTCCCTGCTGGTACACTTTTTTTTTAAACATATCTATTGGTATTATTATTTTTGGAAACTACTTTTGCAACACAGAAATGTATTTAAAAAAATAATAAACAGAGATCAACATTTGTTTTTCCCAAAGTTACAAAAGTGCAGGTGACGACTGCAGGAGTTTCTTCCTGTTGCTGCAGCATCAATAGCTATACTGCTTCATCAACCAATTTAAGCAACAGATCTAACTCATGCCAAATGTCAGTTTGTGAGAATTAATTTAAAAAAATGTACAGACCAATGGAACCAGCCGATCTATTTTACACTTTAATGCCACCAACCTGAATAAGCACAACTTGATATGCGACAGAGAAAAGGAAAACGCCCTTTCAACAGGAAAAAAAAAACCTCCAGCAGATCCAGAACCAGGTTCAAAATAGTTGGGATCAAAATTCAGGTTTATAGAGAGCAGGGATCTTCATCCAGATGTTTGTTAATGCGATCTGAAATGTTTTTGGTTTCAATTATTTAACCCCTTATCAAATATTAGACTAAAATTTATGAAAGCTATAGGATCAAACAGGATTTTTTTCTCTACATCATTTTAGATTTCCACCATGAAAACAATTCCATAATTCTGGGTGTCTAAAAACCCCTTTTACATGTAAAAATGTCTTCAGGGAATATTCATCAAATCTATGAGTCGAATTATCAGTGATTACACGATGGATGTTGTTTAAAGACAAAGCAATTCAAATTAAACCTATGCATAAAGTCAGTAAATAGATTTTAGATAACAAAAAATACTGTTTTGTTTCAGAACTATTCCGGAGGAATTTGTGGAAAACTGGAATTAGAAGACATCTACTTTATAGGAAAATTCATATGATTTGTGTTTGTCGAATGAGAACCGGCCATCGGAACAGACGAGAATTGTTCATTTAAAATATGATTAGTAATGTGATGATGAATTATTGATAAGAATGTGAAAACGGGTGCGATTATATGTAACACTTTGTGGAAAACTGGAATTAGAAGACATCTACTTTATAGGAAAATTCATATGATTTGTGTTTGTCGAATGAGAACCGGCCATCGGAACAGACGAGAATTGTTCATTTAAAATATGATTAGTAATGTGATGATGAATTATTGATAAGAATGTGAAAACGGGTGCGATTATATGTAACACTGGCTTGCCTTACGGCTGTTCAAACACCAAACTCCCAAATCCCGAAACTTTTGAGCTCCTCCCTACAACTCCCATTATCCCGAAAAAGAAAACTTCCAGCGTTGTTCTGAAACCATATTCCAACTTCTGCTGCTATAAAGTAAGTTGTTATAAACATTAGTGGCCACGAAAACCTACCCGACATTACACGGCACGTGCCCGAGCTCCGGCGTAACTTCTTACATCTTCATGTTTTGTTGTTTGAACTAACTTGGCTAACGTTAGCTTAGCTGGAGTTAAAACCACTTCCCTTCACAGTAGCGAGGTGAAATGTTAACATGTTTGATGGTGATTTGTCACTGTTTAAACACAAATATTTGGTTTATTTTGGAAACTTAAACTCAAAACGCGCTAACATTGTCCTGCTAACTCGATAGCATCTTGATTGTTACAAACTCGCTGGATCTCTGTTGTTTTTCTTTCTTTCTATTTTTCAGTGGTGCTACATGCTAATACTATAACTAACAGTTTATTATAAAATATCAAACGTACATAACGCATGTTGGAGCCTCGGACTTTGTTACTCTATTTACATTATTATTTTATTCTAAATGTTGTTATTTTGTTCTGTAGAACCTTTATGAGATTAATAAATAAATTGAATTTTAGCTCTATCAAAATATTTCAGTTGTGATTATCTACCAAAATATGTTTAGCATCAGTATCTGCAGAATTATTTGTAGAATTAGTATATGTCAAACCTAATTTTCAAGGATTTTATTTGTATTTTTGTGTTTTAGATTTGTTTTCATGAAAATTGCATTCATATTACACACAATAATAACATGAAAGCAACTTGATGAAAACAAAACTAAAGCACAAAAATACCAAATATATGATTTCATCTTTATAGATAGATATATTTAAACATGCACATCCCATTTTCCCTCTCTTTTTAGCTGCCTCAAGATGATCCTTACATAACAACAGAACACACAAAGAACGGGAGCAGTGCAGAAGGAAAATGTCTCCTAAGGTGCCTGGTGGTCAGGGCAGAGGGGACTTCTCAGCAGTCCAAGTAGCTGTTCGAGTGCGTCCCCTTCTCCCCAAAGAGATCCTACACTGCCACGAGAGTTGCATCACCGCGGACCCTGAACTTCATCAAGTGACTTTGGGCCACGATCGACACTTTGTTTCTGATTTTCTATTCGAAGAAGCTTGCTGTCAGGAGGAGGTTTATTCTCTGTCCGTCCAACCGCTCATAGATGCTTTCTTCCAAGGCTTCAATGCCACTGTCTTTGCCTATGGACAAACAGGCTCAGGCAAGACTTACACCATTGGAGAAGCTAATATTAGTAAGTAGTTTATTTTGGGTTTGAGATCATTTCCTCAAAAATTTTAGAGTACTTGTTTTCAACAGCACACACAAACTCTGCCAAAGATAAAACACACTGTTTTTATTTATTGTAATAGTATATTTGCTTTTCTTTGTGTTTTTTATTTGGACTTCTCTGTTCACCAAACCAGTTTGATGAAGCAGTTTTTATTTAACTTTATGTTTAGGTTCCTTCAGAGACGAGGAGCAGGGTATCATCCCTAGAGCTGTGGCAGATGTCTTCAGACTGCTGGATGAAAACGACCTTGCAGACTTCTCTGTTCGAGTCTCCTATTTGGAGGTGTATAAGGAGGAATTTAAAGATTTACTGGAGGTTGAGACCGCTAGCAAGGACATCCACATTCGTGAGGACAAAGGCAACATCGGTATGGGATAAGCAGCCTTAATGTGTTTTGATCCTTTTTTGTGTGTTGTCGCGGGATTTTTTTCTTCCTTAATAACGGTGTGTGTGTGTGTGTGGTTTTTTTTTGTAGTTTTGTGCGGTGTAAAGGAGTGCGAAGTAGAAGGTCTTGATGAGGTGTTGAGTCTGCTTGAGTCAGGAAACACTGCTAGACACACCGGTGCAACACAGATGAATCCGAATTCCAGCCGGTCTCACACTATTTTCAGCTTGTACATGGATCAGCGTCGTGGGAGCTCGCGTTTAAATGGGACTGCTGCGAACTCCGGACCACAAATGTTGTCTTCAAAGTTTCACTTTGTGGATTTGGCTGGGTCGGAGCGCATCTTACGGACGGGTAACACTGGAGAGAGATTGAAGGAAAGTATCCAGATCAACAGCGGCCTTCTGGCTCTAGGAAATGTTATCGGTGCTCTGGGGGATCCTAAGAGAAAAGGCTCTCATATACCATACAGAGACTCTAAAATCACTCGGTGTGTTTCGATTATTGTTGCAAATCATTCTAACAGAATATTTTCATGTAATTCAGCTTTAATTTGTATTGTTCTTGTTTAAACTAGGATACTGAAAGACTCTTTGGGAGGGAATTCAAAAACACTGATGATTGCCTGCATCAGCCCTTCATCCTCGGACTTTGATGAGAGTCTGAATACACTAAACTATGCGATGAGGGCTAGAAACATTCAAAACAAAGCTACTGTCAACTCTAAGCGTGAACCTGATCGCATGGAAGGACTGGAGCAGCAGATCAAGGCTCTTCGCAGGGCCCTGGAGAACCGTCAGCGCTCAGAGACTCGCATCATCGCTCACGCTGACCCAAACAGGAGACCCCGACTTGGGGAAGGAGAAATCAGCAGGCTGTATGCACAGAGCGCACACTACAGGACCTGCACTGACACGGCTTACAGGTTGGCACATTCACTGATATGTGGTGCATGAAATCATAAATTAGGTCCATTTAGTTACAAAATATTAGAAATTTAAAAATGTTTTTTTCCATGCTGCTAAACCATAAAAGGCTGTTTTAGTTTCCAATGTATTATAAAATAATGTTTTGGTGCTGCCCATCTAAGGTATTTTGGTTTATGGGATGTATTTTTTCTCTTTATTATGTAAAACTAAATTTCACAGGTTGCTGCGGGAGCTGCAGAGTGAAGGCTCTTTGAGTGCAGAACAGTGTCTAAGAGTAAAAGAGTGGCTGTGCTCGGTTGAAGAGGAGCGGAGCGGGCTCACGACCGCCTCCGGACCAGACAGTGGTATCGAGAACAGTTCCACCTTTGCACTGAGAAGAGGCAGGCCTTCCATAAGGAATGTGGTATGTCTCTTTTAAACCAGTTTAGAATCATTGCTTTCGTTAAACTTTAGTTTTAAATGTTGGTCTTTTGTTTAGGATGCAGAAGCTGTGGAGGAGAGGTGGAACCATGAGAGTGAGAGAGAAGACGTTATCGCTCATCTTCAGGCTCAGATCCAGCAGCTGGAAAAAGAGAATACCGACTTTTTAGCAGCTCTGGAGGACGCTATGGAGCAGTACAAGCAACAGGCATGGTTTAGTTTAAATGTCAAATTTAGATTTTTGACTAGAGCAGCATTCAGTTAGTTTTTCTTGTGCAAAGATACTTAATTTCCACCAAGCTGCATCATTATATTTTACTTTCTTTTGACTCAAACAATACATTGATGTTTTTTCTTTATTCTGCATCAGAGTGATAAACTGCAGGAACAGCAGGACCAGATATCAGATCTACAGTGTCAGCTCTCTGCACTTGGGACGATGGGCCTCGGGTTAAACATGAGGTTACGACCTCACACCGCCCCGATGGGCTCCATGCAGCATGGTCAGAATGGAGGAACATGCAGACAGGTGACTAACCCAGGAGAGGTTGAAGAAAAATACGTGCCTGGTTTTTATTTGGCTTTAGTCTAATGAAGAAAACGTAAACTTGTGCAGTCATACACCGCTCCTGATGCTCTTGCTACGTTTGAAACATTCCCTCAGGTCCCATTGTAAATCAATGTCCCAGGTCTCATAGTTTTATTTTTTTTATATGTGAGTGTTTCATTTTGTGTGATTGTAGGTCAGTCCAGTGGGTCATACAGGCCATGGGTTTGATCAGAATGGGGCGGTTTATGTGGACCTGGAGACCCCCGGAGGTGCAGAGATGTACTACAAGGAAAAAGAAGGAACTCACCCACGCTTCTTTCAGGAGAAATCCCAGTATGCTGTCTGACATTTGATGTTGTTTAAAAAAATTCTAACATTTCAAAGACACATTTCTTGTGTGAGTGAACATCCAAATCTATAATTCTCATTATTCCGTCAGAACGGTGAACGTGACCTGGACCAAGCGGGACATGCATTTAGGTGTAGCGGCTCTTGACAAAGGGACGACGCTTCAGCAGTCCGAGTCAGATCTGCACCCTTGTTTAGCCAGAAAAGCATGTAAGTCTTACGGGTGTTTTGATAATTATTTTGAAGGATTTTACAACATTGTGAAAGGGTACTGGGAGAGTTACAGAGATGGATCATGTGATGGCAAAAGTACTGACTTCATGTGTCCTCCTTCGAACTTCTATGAAGCCAACTCCAGTAGTGGAGAGAGCCTGAGAAGCTTTGAGGGTGTTTCAGAGTGGGGACTTCTGCAGGCACAGCAGAAGATCAGGGAGCTCTCAGTCACCATCCGCATGAAAGAAGAACTCATCAAGGAGCTGGTCAAAACAGGTAGCAGTTACCAAGCACCTCCTGAGCTGCACTGGCGTAAATAAAAAGTTGACTGTCTTTTTTTGTTGATGTGTCAGTTGTTTTCTGTCATTTAAGGTAAGGAAGCCCAGGCCCTGAATAAGCAGTACAGCCATAAGATCACAGCTCTGGAGGGTGAAGCTGTGCAAGCCCGGCAGGAGCTGCAGGAGGCCCAGCGGCAGCTGCAGGATCTGGAGAGGCAAGAGAAGGAAATAAGTGCAACCGACAAGACCAGGGCACAGGAATGTCGCAGGAAGATAGCTGCTGCTCAGAGCAAAGTTCAGGTTTGACCGTCACGCATCAAAGTGTTTACCAGTTATACTGCAAAACGCTGTCTGTAAAGTAGCTTATTCACCATTTCTGAAAGTAAATTTAAACTAGTCTCATTTAATTTTTTACGTAAAGACTTCATTATTTCTGTTATTTTCTAACAAAATATTTATCATTAAACCATGTTAGGTTTTAAGTCAGCGCCAGAGGGATACAGCTCGTCTGGCCAACCTACCTGTTCAGAGTGAACGTCGTGTGTTGGAGCTGGAGAGGAGTGTCCAGTCCATGAAGCAGCAGCAGGAGCAGCTGCAGCGACGCCTGCGAGAGGAGAGTCAGCAGAAACGGCGCCTGGAGACCGAAATGCAAAGAAGAACTCACAGAGTCAAGGTAGCACTAAGCCTCGTTAGCTAGTTTTTAGAAAAGTCATTAGACACTAGGGCTGCACGATGTTAGGAAAACCTGCGATATTCGGTAACAGTGCTTAATATTGCGATATCGATATTACTCACGATAAATGAACAAATACTAAAGTATGCAGTGTTGATGTCGTCTGGCGTGTGACGTCTGTTCTGGGTTCAAAGCAAACAAAAACTAATGCATGAATTCCATTACAACATAACATTTTTATTGCAAAAATATGCAGCTGCACCTGCTACTGTGTTAGCAGCAAAACAACAAACTGCATGCATGCAGTTTCGCAGTGACTTTAAAACATCACCACCACCATAAAACATTTTCTGATGCTCCAAATACAGAAAAACATCCCTTACCAGGGTTTTCTGAATAAATAAATAAATCATAAAATAAGTTTAAATGTTAAATAATAGTTAACATCACTTAAATGCAACAGCTAATTCTCTCATTGCTACTGAACATTTTCTCCACTTATGTGGTTATGATATAAGGCTGTTGCTGCAATTGGGAAGTGAACTGTGCTGGACCAAACTAGGAGAATATTAAGATTTTCTGAGGGAAAGAGAAAAACAATCGTCTACCTTTCAGAAGAGGAACTGGCAAAAAACTACATGGAAAATATGTGAAAACGTTTGTTTTTAACCCCAAATTAAACAAGTTTACCTAGATCTTAAAAAGCAGCTCAGGTGATGAAACTGCAACTATGATTCTGATAACAAGCTAACAAATTGAACTAGCTCCTCTTAAGATAACCGGCTAGCAGAGCTTCTGACTGACAGTTTATGTGCAGCAGCAAATCAACTATCCTGATTAACAAGGTTATAAAAGCTCATAAATGAAAAATCACTTTGATGTGTGGGGGAACTTTTCCAGGCCCTCTTTAGCAGGGTGGGACTGGGAGGAGAGTGCTGTAGCCTTTTAGCTGGAAGCTAATAGGAGCCTGGGGCTAACATCACCACCCGGTGGAACACTAGCGACATGAAGATGGGTTGGTTCACCGGCGCGTGTCGGAGTCAGCCCGGTTATTATCAGCTGCTTAACGACACCGAGCGGACTCTCGTTCACGTTTGAAAGCAGCGCTGATTCCAGAAACCTCAGCACAAAGTGCGTTCGTTGCTCTGAGCCAGCATGACGAACAAGAGAATGGCGCCGCTAACTCAGTTCGGGTGTTGCTTTCCGGGCGGGCGTATTACGTGAACGGACCCATCTGATTGGCCGCACATCAGAAGGGCTACATTTGATTGGTCAAATAATACTTCTGCGTAAAAAACAGAGCTGGTTTACGAAAAGCTGATGTATGACACGGATGGAAATGTTGAACCAAACATTCATCGCCATTTTTGACGTGCTTTGCGACGGGCCTATCGCGCGTCCTGTTATCCCGATGACAATAGTTTTTCGATATATTGTGCAGCCCTATTAGACACTGAAGGAAAACTACTAAAGAAGGCCTTTTTCCTGTGCACTTGTCTTATTAGTGATCTTTTTATTCTCATAACGCCATCACTGCAGGAACTTGAGATAAAGAATGAGCAGCAACAGAAAATCCTGAGGATAAAAACGGAGGAGATCGCAGCCTTCCAGAGACAGAGGCGCAGTGGCAGTAACGGCTCGGTCATCTCGTTAGAGGAGCAGCAGGTGAGATAAGAACTTATCGTATCTTAGTAGGTTTCATATTACAGCAGCTCTTCTTTCCAGCTGCCACATTGTTTTACGTGTGCTGACTCTGAGTTTAGAAGATTGAGGAGCAGAAGCGCTGGTTGGATGAAGAGATGGAGCGTGTTCTAGACCAGAGAAGAGGACTGGAAGATCTGGAAGGGGAGCTGACTAAACGAGAGCAAATCCTGGCCAAGAAGGAAGCCTTGCTACAGGAACGCAGCGGGCTGGAGACCAAACGGCTCCTCTCCAGTCAGGTAAACACAAATAACTCCATTTGGTGAGTCAGGGAACCAGCAAGTGTTTAGGAATTATTATTGATCTGTCCTTCCAGGCTCTAAGCAAAGATCTGGTGATGCTCACTGGGCGGATTGAGTCACTTGAGCAGGAGCTGAGCGAAAGGAACGGCTTACTTCGCAGCAGCAGCGCTCAAGATTCCCAACACATCCGGCAAGAGATCTCCAACCTGCGGCAGGAGAAGGATTCCCTGCTGAAGCAGCGTGTTGAGCTGGATGATAAACTACGGAAAGGAAACTTGCTCTCACCTGAGGTCAGCTATAAGTTTGCTGCTCACTTTAGATTAGAACTTGAGGAATGTTGTTCACATGCTTGTGTTGCCCGTGACGTTCCAGGAGGAGAGAACTCTTTTCCAGTTGGACGAGGCGATCGAGGCTTTGGATGCCGCTATAGAGTACAAGAACGAGGCCATCACTCAGAGACAGAGACAGCTCAGGGCTTCTGCCAGCATGCTCTCCCAGTGGGAAATGAACCTCATGGCTAAGCTCAGTTACCTGTCTGCCTCTGAGACCAGAGCTCTGCTGTGCAAGTACTTTGACAAGGTGTTGTTTCAAGTACATTTCAGCCACTTTAGTGTCAGCTGTTGACCGTAGAAGGCTGTGTGTGAGTACATTTAACAGCTTCTGTGTTGAACAACATTTCTGTGGACGTGCTCTGCAGGTGGTGTCTCTGCGTGAGGAGGAGCGTAAGCTGCAGCTTGCACTGACCGAGCTGGAAATGCATCTGGAGGAGCAGCAAAGGCAGGTGCAGTGGCTGGAAAACGCCCTCGATCGCACACAACTCGACACGGACCGCCGGCTCACGCAGCAGCAGAGGGAACACGAGAGGAGCATGCAGCTGCTGCTGCAGCAGTGTCGAGGTGGGGAATAATAATAAAGAAAGGAATATCTCACCAAAATCACACTGTCTGTTTCACAACTTGAATTTTATGATATTTGTCCCTTTTGTGTCCTTTTGGTGTCACAGAACAAATGGATGAGGGCCTGGCAGGAAGGCAGCGGCAGTTTGAGGGATTGATCCACAACCTCAGTAAGGAGCTAAACCATCACAGGACCGCTAATCTGGAGCTCAACAACAAACTGAGAGAGCTCTGTCCACCAAAGGAGCATCCCAGAGGTAAACACCCAGATGAGACTAACCTGTCTCACACAAGTCAAACCGACCTTCCTGCACCCCACCAGATCTTTAAAGACATTTGTTTGACTCTTAGAAATTTGAGGCAGCAAGATGTACCGGTTTTCTGAGTTTGAAATATACAAATTTATTTTAAAAGTTGAACAATTAGAATTTAAAACTATTTTGATTTAGTTTGTTCTTTAGTTTTATACATTCAGTTTTACTTTGATGTAAAGAATTTGATCAGTTATCGCTCTGTAATATTTTTCCTTTTGCTTTATTAGAATGAATTTTTACCTAATCCTCCCTGTTAGAATGGATGTTTTCCTGCACCTTTAACATCTCGATTTTGTTTTTTCAGTCTTTCCTTCTGATGTTAAACATGCAAATATTGGCAGCATGGAGAAGCTGAGCCGCTGCTCTGTGGACAGCTCAGCAGGTCGAGGGGCGGGGCTTCACGACAAACCAACCAGGTCCAAAGATGAGGTGAGGGAACTGGTAAACACCCCGCTCCCATCCACATGGAGGCGCTCTTCCCTTCCTACAGAGGAACCTGTAGTGATGGAGGAACTGTGGCTTCAGGTGTCAGGAGATTCTCTGACTCACCGTGTGGTTCCGACTGGTACGGGGTCCTGGACTGGGCCCACATCATTTCCTGTGGTGAAATCTCGCAGAGAGTCTCGGCGCTCCAGCCTCATCATCGGACCACTGACCTCAAACAATTCATTAATTGATGTACGTAAGAATCCTGTCTGAGTTTTACGTGCCACTATTTTGATGTTGTGTCTTATTTGCCCACATTGTCATTTTGTTTATTTCATTTTTTGTAATTTTTTTAATGAAAATTCCACAGATTTTTCTACAAAGCACTTTTGATTAAGATCAAATTCATATTTTCATGCAAATGCTAATTGTAAAAAATAAGTCATTAAAAAATGTCATTATCTATTCAGGTAAACTTTTGTTTATTTACAATATTTTGTATTAAATGTTTTGGGGGTTTAATGTGTTATTGTCATCTTTTATAATTATTTACAAACATTTTTGGCAGATATTATAATTAATCAGTAATGTAAGAATAATTTCACAATATAAATGAATGTCCATCAAGTTTTCCTCTAAACATGTTAATGTTACACACAAAAATAAAAGTTTCGTTTGTTAAAACTCAGGGCTGCCAACTCTCACAGTGAGAGAAAGGGCCGTGCAGAGACCTTTGAAGGGGCGGGTGCTCAAAGTTAATAAAAGAGCACATATAGAGCAAATTTTTTAAACAGATTTACAATCCAAGTTTGAAGCAAATGGGCAGTCTCGCCTTGGGCACCAAATTACCTAGAGCCGGCCCTGGTTCCTAGAAACACTTTCCATGCCCAGACTAGTGACCTGTTATTTATAATTGTATAATATTAAGTGAATGCACTAAACCCACAAATGATAGAAGATCAGATTAAATATTAATAATCATATTACTATCAAATATAAATAAGTATAACCGATAACTATCTTAATGAAAAAATGATAATATTTTTATTTTAATATTGATTCTATTTCATTTCTAAGGTTTGGATGTCTGAACATTACAGAATATTCAGATTGGTGTAAAGAACACGATATTAATAACAGGTCATGATCTAAAGCTGGTCTGAGGTATAAAACTCCGCCCTGGGCCTGAAGCCCTGCAGATATATTTAGTTTCTATAGACAACAACAACAAATAAATAACAGCAGCTGGATTCTACTTTGTTTCTTAAATTGAGTCACGTAGTTTTGCAAGTTCTGCAGCTTACGTTCAACAGGGAGCTCTGCCAGCGGATTGGTTCTTTTGGTAACCAGTGCAGTTCTGGTACTGAGCAGCATGGATGCATCAGTGGATTTCATAGTCTGTGTTCATAATGGATTAAGAAAGGACAGGAAAACATTGTTAACTCAAATATATCATTACAATGAACATGTATAGATACTTTATCATTTATAGCCTGTAACTAATTCCCCCCCCCCCCCCTCCCCAAATGCAGACTGATGCGTTTAAATATAAAATGTCCAATTATTTTTTTCCGGGGGGGGGTGTACCCCAACCCCCCCAGGGTACTTTAATACTTATCTTTTTTTTACCTCAGAGAAAAGAATACTGACCTTAAAACCAATACAAACCCGAATAGTGGCTGCGTGTAAACAATGTGACCCCCCCCCCCCCCCCCCCCATAATTTTCAGTCAGATGAGAATTTTTTGCTTCAATCCCTGTGCACGCCCCAGCTGCAGCTCTATTGACGCCCTCTAGTGGCAACAAGCTGGTACTACGTGAGTTCAAGCAACTGAGAGCTATCCTCAGCCAATGGATTTGAGTGTTTTAGCAACTGAGAAAAACTGCAAAGTTAGAAATCTGAGAATAAACTCAGATTTCTGAGATTTAAGTTAGAATTCTCGTTCTTTTTATTTATTTTTTCTTTAAGTGGCCCTAATCTTTTACCGTAAATTAGGCTAATAATATCTAATAAAATGTCCATGACTCTCAGAAGTATGTGTCGTGCCTGTTAACATGTTTTACCGCTGGGTGGCGCTAAATAGTCTGGTCCACATAAAAGCATCAAATCCACGAAAATCTCCGGTTTCCGTTTGTTTTAGCTCCTATATCAGAAGAAGAACATGAAATCAATCACTGAATTGAAGAAAATAGAATTAAGCCTTTTTTAACTGCTAAATTGTCAATAATCTCAGAAACCAAGAGCAAAAATAAAGAGAAACTCAGATTATTTTCAGTTCATATTTAATTCTGTTACATTCGATTTGGCTTTATTTGTTTGAATTATAATTAGTTTTAATTAAACATTTCTTTCTACACGCCACCGCTCTTCTAAACCACGAGCAGACGCTCAGGGGATGTTTCTCATTGGTTGCCTGAAACTCACCGTTCCTGTGACGTCAGCAGCGCCAGCGAGTGGAGGAACCGTTCAGTAGAGGGGGGGGGGGGGGGGGGGGGTGTTAAGGCAGCGATGAAGTAAGAAGGGGAGACCTCTGTCAGGGGGACACATCTCAGCTATAGGACCTGAGACGGGCAGATCTGGACTCAGTGGACTAAAAGCTCCTCTTATTCCGAATCTGAAGCCAGAACCTGGACCCGGGAGCCTCCTCTTCCTCCTGAAGATGGACACAAACGCACCAGACCTCCTCCACACCCCCCACGCGCAGCCTCGGTGCTGATGGTGTGGGATTTATGGAGCAGAACCACGCGGTTGCTCACCTGTTTGTTCGAAGCACAGCTGAACAGAATCTGGATGATGGCGCACCGCGCGCACGTTTGGATGTTTCAGTCCCGCAAACCAGGAACGCATCTGAAAAAGTGAGCCACACAGAAAATCTGGTGATTTATTTAATTTATCAGATAGAGTCTCACAAATTGGATTTGATTTATTATGATTGATTATCTCATATGTTTGATGTCTGATTAATCTTCAAAACAGGTCTGGGTTGTTGTTTACATGAGTCACGGTTAGAGTGGAATTAGGCAGAATCTGTTACAACTCAGCATTTTGTAAATAAATAAATAAATAAATAAATTAATAATAATAATAAGAAGAAGAAGAAGAAGAAGAAAAATAAAATAAACATTTTGTTGTGAGAAAACAGGCCCATGTCTGTTTCAAACGCCAACAATAATAGCATATAGTTTATTATTATTATTATTAACATAATAATAATTATTATTTGTTATACTAATACGATTTTAATGTGATGGTACATATATGAATTTTTGTTAGTATTTTCTCCTAAAGTGACGCACTCAGATTCACCCCCAATTAAAACAGCGTACGTCAGACGCAGTGATCATCAGGATGTGTATAAAAATCAACAAGTGCATCTGCAGGGTTCTTTAGTGTGGATACGTTTGGAATCTATTTACATGAAAATGTTAATAATTCAGCATGAAGGTGGAGAAAGGTTTCATTGAGAAAATTCTCTAGTTTTGTTTTTTCTGGTGTGCCTTTTAAAAACCTCCTGGAGCTACAATATTTGTAGAAAAGTTTCACAAATTGATTTAAAAACTCAAGCAAGATGGAAATAATTCTGCTAATGAAATGAGGATTTAGTTGTGTTTAGAACAAAACAAAAGGTTATATTGTTTATTTATTGCTGCTGTTCCTCACCTGTGATAATTAATTGTCTTTGTTCCCAGGTAACTGAGACTCACAGCAGCATGGAGCCTGTTCCTGTCTTTGGTTATCTAGCTGTATGAGTGTGACTGTCCATCATAAAGCTAGATAACCGAAAGTAGGAATGACCCCCGAGACTTCAGCTGAGAATCCTTTAAAAGTAAATGTATCGTGTTCAGGTAGGTTATGACATTTTCCTAAATCAGAAATATTCAAGTAGTTTTTGTTTGTTTGTTTGTTTTGTTTTGAGTCTGTTGAGCATTTTAATTTTTCTGTTTGTTTCAAATAAAAATGTAAACAAATAAATGTTTAAAAACAGATTAAACTGTATGTTTTCTAATAAGATTGTCAAATAAATGTCTATAATTTTCAGGTTTTGTTTAGAAAATAGAAAAAAACTGTAGATTTTCTGGGCTCTTTGTTGTTTTTCCATAATCAGAACTTTTATTTATTTATTATTTATTTATTTACTTTGTAGATTTACAGAACCTCAAAAAAATAAAAATTCTACTTCAATGGTTGTTTAACAATAAATTATTTTTTTCTTTTCGAGTTAAATTAATAAAATAAAAACAACAAAGGTTAAATTAAAACTAAGATTAACTGAAGAAGACAACATGTGTAAGTTAAATGATGTATCATAGTGCAAGAAGCAGATGCAGGTCAAGTTTAAAGGTCAGAAGAACTCCATAAATTCATCTGAAAACATTTTATTAAGAATAATAAAATATTGTATAATTTCTTCAACAAAATTATGAAAAATGTAAATGATGGCCTGTGTCAAAAGGTGCATTTTATTTATTTATTTTTTCAAAATAAGACCAAAATGAAGGATATTACAAATGAACAAGATTGATTTAAGTCTTGTCTGCAGTCAGCATCTTTTAAACAATAAACCAAAATGATAATTAAACCTCATAGGAGCCATCTGCTATTTAAAAAATCTATCTATCTATCTATCTATCTATCTATCTATCTATCTATCTATCTATCTATCTATCTATCTATCTATCTATCTATCTATCTGTCTGTCTGTCTGTCTGTCTGTCTGTCTGTCTGTCTGTCTGTCTGTCTGTCTGTCTGTCTGTCTGTCTGTCTGTCTGTCTGTCTGTCTGTCTGTCTGCCATGTTTTTGTCCTCTGGTGGGTAGGAAACTCCAGTGCTAGTGAGCCGCTATCAAACACGTTTTAGGGGTTTCCCTGCTTAAACACACCTGATTTTAATCAGCTGGTGATTAACAGGTTACTACTGCCTGATGAGCTGCCGAACAGGTGAATCAATCGTGTTAAAGCAGGGAAACAACTAAACACGCTGGCTCTAGGGTTACCTAGGTGTGATCTGACTCTTATTAAAGTCATATTTCTGTGGCCTTTAAAAATTCACTAAAACAACAAAATTGAAACAAATCAATATTTAGTCATGCTGGATCATACATCCTAATGACATTTTTGGTTTTTCACACCAGCAGAATAAAAAAAGTTTAAAATGTAAAGAATAAATACAAAAAATTAAATTAAATTAAATAGGCCAAACAATGTTTTATAATAAGATTGTTGATTCAATGTCTTGTAATTTTGAGGTTTGGTTTAGAAAATGTCAAAGTTTTTTTTAAAGTAAAAAAATAAAAATAAAAACAAAGAGCTAAATTATATGTGATTTTTTACAGAAGCACTAATAAAAGCAAGTAATATTTCAAAGCTAAATTTTTTAAAACATAATTCTAATAGATTAACTGTAACCTGTTTAATACTATAGCGGTCAAAATAATGCACAAAGATTTTTGTGAAAAATGTTTATTTGTCTTTATATTAAATCCCATTAAATGAAGATAAAAGTATGAAACATATAAATTTCAACCAATGTTTAACAAAACACGTCTGTATCATATGTGGGGTTTGATCAAATCCAATTAGAAATTTATCAATCTTTATTCTTGTGTAAAAGTTATCAACCAAAGTAGTTATTGTTTTATTTTTATGTATGTTTCAGGTTTACCATTGATGGTAAATGTGTAGAAATTTGTTATTTAAACAATGAAGACTAAAATAAGACATTAAATGAGTTATAAAACAATAAAAATAACCTTTATCATCAAAGTTTAAATAAACAAATACATAATAATAATTATAAATAACAACAACAACAACAATAATAATAAAACTTATGTGTTTTGTTTTACAAAATAAATTAACTGGCTTCTATTTCCAATAAGATTATAAATCTGAAGGTGGGCCAGCAGCAGGCCGACACCTTGTCAGACCTGCTGCCCAAACATCTAGCTGACATTTCTATCAACAAAGATGAAAGTCTCTATTATTCCACTTTAAACTGCAGCTTAGAGGCAGATTTTAAACAAACCTGCAGCACAAATGACTGCAGGAATTACAGCTAGGCCTCTTCCAGCGCTCTGCGGTTCTCTCTGGCATGACAAAAAACCAAGAGCGCTCGACTACAACGTCAAATAAAGGAAACAGTCATGCAACTCAAGCTGATAAGGAGGCAGAGATGGTGCAATATTACCATAATTACATAGAAACTGGGATGAGAGAGGGAGCTGCTGGGACTTAAAGGCACAGCAGCACAAAACCAGTCTGGGAGGAGAGAAGGCCTTCAGAATCAAACACATGATTAGTTTGTGATTTAAACATGAATCAATAGAACCCTTGTGTAAACACGCATGCTGATATATCAGTGGCCTCTTTGATTGAACATTTCTGTAAATAAAAACTTGTGAATGTTTTAACTGTTCAATGTAAACACCAAAGCTTGTGAGCAAAAGAATAAAAACTAAAGTGCTTTCACTGATTTGGAGTTCTTTTATTGCTGTCTCTATTTTGTGTTAATTTTAGGATCATCCAATGAAAAACCACATTGTCTCTGTACCTAATGCTGCAGTTCATGTGGATTTTGTTTATATATTTTTTTAATTTAAAGGCCAAATGGTCTACAGATACCAGTCTGGTCAAATACAGTAAGAATCGGGGCGTAATTAGCAGCTCTTGGGGAGGGCTCAGAGTTAAGCTGCATGGAATTTTCCACTTAAGCTCGTTATTTATGGGTTTTACTCTCAGAACTGGATGACACACACAGGCTTATTTATAGTACCAAAATCCTGTCTGGACTGTTGTGTGTCTGATTTTGATGACAGTAATTAAAAACAAGCTAAGAATTTCCTGAAATGTCGACCAAGTTGCACTTTTAAATCTCAGCGTCCACGCTGCAGCTCTCAGTGTGTGTGTGTGTGTGTGTGTGTGTGTGTGTGTGTGTGTGTGTGTGTGTGTGTGTGTGTGTGTGTGTGTGTGTGTGTGTGTGTGTGTGTGTGTGTGTGTGTGTGTCATCTTGGTGATAAGTTCTGCAGCTGCAGGAGACCTGTTGGCCTGTTGGTAAACAGCGGCGACAGCCCATTATCATTCTGATCCTAGCTTCTTGCCACAAAGGCTGCTTTGTGAAAGGGGCACTTGACAAAGGTCTGCTGCTGGAGGCTGCGGCAGCAAACGGCGGGCACCTCTGAGGTGGGAACAACCATCCAGTCCAGACCAGACCAGACAGTGGCAGATGTCCGCACAGCAGCTCAGTGAGCAAAACAAAAAAAGCTGCAGGAAATTTGACTTATTGTTTTCCTGCCTCTTTATGTCTCTTCCCCCAGCACACTCAAAGCGCATGAGTGCTCCGGTCAGCATTTTGCTTACTTACTTAAAGTTAATAAATGTCACGCACACATCACACAACAACATTACAACACAGTTTCCTTCCATAAACTACATCCACAATGATAATCTCACTGTTAAACCTGTGATGTCGTCAGTTTTGCAACTTTGTCGACTGAAATTAGCTCATCTGATTGCACATGTAATAAAAATTGACCGGGGGGGGGGGGGGGTAATTTTTGTTGCGGTATCCCTTTTAAAAAATGTTTTTAAATATGAAGCAAATCAGATGTTCTGTGATAATTAAACAGCTGCTTTGGGTTATTTTAAAGAAATTCCAAATGAGAAAATGACTAAAAAATAAACAAAGACTATCAGTTTTATATTTTAGATTTCATAGATGTTCCTGCTGTTCTCACATCTCTTCAGACCTTTTCTCCTCCCTCAGAGATTCAGCTGCTGCTCTTAATCTGGGGATAAACATGATGATCCTTCAACGGTTTGTTCTTGGCTTTGTGACGACAGCAGGGGACCTTTCACTGCTCCTGTTTTCCCATGATGGAGTGGCTCCGAGCAACTAAGACCTCTTACAGGAGCAAACAGCCCATCACACTAAGCCCTGCAGCATGAATGCATGCAGGTACTGAACTCTTAAAAAAGTCATCATCCGCCCCTGATTTGGTCTCAGAAATGCAGCTACCTTTAAAAAAAAGTAAGTAAGTGGACTCAAACAAAGCTTCTTTGATAATAATGCAGGCATTGTAATAGATTATTTGCACTTCAACACTATATACAGCAGTCATTTGCATATTCAGCAGCATCTAATTTCTGCTCCATCACAGAAGAGAATTTCCCACGAGTGAATTTCCATCGCAGCCCGCCAGTGGTTCATTATGACAGTCAAGTTCAAGTTCACAGGGTAGAAACGTCTCGACTCCTCATTCATTGCTGTCGGTTCCCCCAACCCCCCTCTTCCTGCTACCCCCTCCATCCCTCTCATGCAATGACTGCATGGTGTTGCTCTGACCAAGAGGCTGCGCCGTTGTTATGGCAGCGGGATGGATAACCCTACAATGTGCTGGTGAAAACGAACGCCTGTCAGAGAGAACGAAAGAGACCCGAGACCCCCAACTCAACAGCTGGGCACGGGCCCCCACCCTCATCACCCTTCTCTTACAGCTACCCACCCTATGGCCCTTTCAGACACCACCCAGACCCTGGGAACAACCACAAACTTCACATTCATCATTCTCTCTCTCTCCCTCACAGACACAGACACACACACACACCCTTCTCAGCCTGCTCCCAAATGATGTATTTGTCCTTAAAATCAGCTCCATGTAATGACACGCCTTCCCGCTACACACACACACACACACACACACACACACACACACACACACACACACACACGCACACACGCACAAACAGTGATGTCATGTTTTGAACATAAAACATAAAACCTGTAAATCAGAAATGGTGTAAAAACGAGACACAGGGAGGATTGTGTGGATGTGTGTGTGTGTGTGTGTGCATGCGCACGTGCGTGTGGGTGCACGTGCATATGTGTGTGTGCGTGTGTGCGTGTGTGTGTGTGTGTGTGTGTGTGTGTGTGTGTGTGTGTGTGTGTGTGTGTGTGTGTGTGTGTGTGTGTGTAAATCTGTGGGGCCAAAGAGAGATTTAGTTGAGGTCTCATTCAGTTTGGGGATAAAAGCAGATCATTTGCATAAACTGCCTGCTGTCTGAGGGGTTCAGGGGTGAGAAAAGATAGGGGAGAACACACAGAAAAGAAAAGCAGAATCTTGTGTTGTGAGACAGAAGATAGAAAAGAGAAGGTTTGAATAAGTGAGAGGGTGAAAATTAGCAGAGAAAGAGCTTTACCGATGTCTTCCAATGGGATTAAGACATCCAGGAACATCTTTCTAAATGCTGTCTGGTTACAATATGGCTGAACTCAGGAATCGGATCAAGTTAAGACATCCAGCACTTGTCTAAGTTTTATCCGTTAAATTAATATATTATACAAAATATTAAAGACTGGTGGCACAATTTAAATAATATAACTAGTTATTGTTTGCTACGATAAGCAAAGGTTTAATAGGTCTGTCTCATTTTCTTTGACAAAAACAATTCTGAGATGTTCTCAGTTAAAAACTATCAGGCCATATACAGAATGTGTGTGTGTGTGTGTGTGTGTGTGTGTGTGTGTGTGTGTGTGTGTGTGTGTGTGTGTGTGTGTGTGAATCTTTTTTTTTTTTTTACTGGATTGATTCATTTAAGACAGGTTACAGTCAGCACCTTGGACAGAGACAGTCATGATGTTGGATGGATTCACACTCAGGATAAATGATGAAAGCAACGACAACATCACATTATAACACAGTTGGGTGGTTATTTGGGTTTCCTATCAAACAAATATTATTAATAATAATAATTAGAAGAAGAAGAAGAAGAAGAAGAAGAAGAAGAAGAAGAAGAAGAAGAAGAAGAAACATGTTTGGGTGAAATGGTAAATGTTAAATGGCCTTTATTTGTATAGCACCTTCTTAGGGTTCTACAACCCCTCAAGGTGCTTCACAACATGATCACTCATTCACTCATTCACACACACTTTCACAACGCTGTTGAGGATGAGCTACAATGTAGCCACAGCTGTCCGGCGCTCAGACAGAGGCGAGGCCTGCTGAACTCTGGTGCCACCGGTCCCTCCGACCACCACCAGCAGGCAAGGCGGGTTGAGTGTCTTGCCCAAGGACACAACAGCAGAATTCTCTGGTCAGAGTGAAGTTTGAAAACTATTAGTGTTAAGGGAAATGTAGACATTTTTTAATTACCTCTGTTTAGAATGAAAATAAAAATCTAATTTTCAGTTACAATGAAATAAAAATAAGTTCATTTTGTGACTTTCAATTTTGTGTGTTGTTTCTAATGTAATGCACTTTGGTCACCTTTGGAATGTGTAAAGCGTTAAAAATACATTTTCATTGACTGACTGATTGACAAGTTAGATGTGAAATAATCCAACGTGGAATTTAGATCAATGACACCAATGTGTGTGTGTGTGTGTGTGTGTGTGTGTGTGTGTGTGTGTGTGTGTGTGTGTGTGTGTGTGTGTGTGTGTGCGTGCGTGCGTGTGTGCGTGCGTGCGTGATTCCTGTGCGCTGGCCCTGGCTCTGGAGGATGTCTTCCCTGTTGCTGGACTAAGGAGTCTTGACCTTTTAGCCTCTAGGGACACAAATTGACCTGACACACGCGTTTGCTCCTCTGATGATCCAAGGGGGGAAAAGTGTTTCCATTTTCTGATGAGCAAATTGGTGTCACCTCTGACCCTGCGTGAGTGAACGACAGGAACAAATTAGATTAACAAACTGTAAACCTTCAGCTTAGATTTGTTTTCCTCTCAGAAGATCTTCTTCTATCTTTGTATCGCGTCAGGAGCTCATGAATGTTGAGATTTAACAAAGCCAGTGGAATTTTTATCCCATTTGTTAGATCATTTCAAGATAAAATCTGCATTATTAGGATCTTATTATGACAGAGCTGAAACCCATCTGTGTGGCTTCATGAGAAGGAAGTGAGATGGTTGGAGTAAACCTGTGAATGAGGAGTGGGCCGCTGCAGGCCAGGCTTGTGTCTGCGGATGATCGTCCAGTCATTTATATCTTCCAGGCGAGTGAGCATTAAGGCTTGTTCTCTGTGTTTGCATGAGAATAGAATCAGGTCCTGTGAACTTCCCCAACCTATTGACCCAGCTCCCCAAACATGAATAACTCTGCTTTGAGGCTCCTCAGCCTCTCAAACAGGCTTAAACTGCACCTCAAGTCCCAATCATGGTAATTTAATAAATCTTAAGCCTCTGGCTGTTTGGTTTGAGCCCCTCCACAGTTTGTTTTAGGCTTTTTTCTTCTGCTTACCTCATCAGCCCATTTCTTAGCTCAAATCAATGCTCTGCTGTTGGTTTAAAAAAACATTATTAAATATTAATCGGTTATTTGAAACAGGATGAAGAAGAAAACTGAGGTGGACAAATATCCTGATTGCAGTGTAATTCATTTCAGAAAGATAAAAGGAAAAGATAAATGGAACATTTGCTTATTATTTAATTGTGTAATTATTAGGGAATCATTGAATTTTTGTTTTAAAATTAAAATTGCAATT